TGAGATTAATACACCTGTTGTCGCGAGGAACGAAAGTATGCTGCCCGTCAGTGTGACAGATGCGACTGCCGCATCGAAGGCCATCGTGAACCCGCACGCCAATGGATGTTGGTTGGCATCCACGCGAGCCTCGCGGGCGACGGGTGGAAATGGGTATCATCTTGTACCAAAAGCCAGTGCGCTGCTAAACCAGAACCGTGGACTGGGCGGGATTGGCTGTTCGTTACATTGATGGAGTCACGGGGCTAAGGTGCGAGTCATGAAGTCGTTGATGGACGTGGGGCCTTCCGGATGCCCCTGTGCTTTCTATTTATTGTGTGATAGACGTCCGTGATGCCATCTGAACTTGGTCAAGGCCCCCAGACGAGTGCCTAATAGGCAGGACGTAAGTCGTCGAAAGACGTGCGGTTAAATGGCTTTGAGTTTGCGCGATTAACATCAGCTGGGTAAGGCAATGCTTAGCCTCCCAGACTTGAGGCTTCCCTTGAGGCTGATGATACGCCTCAGAGAGTTCCGAGATACCACCTAGGGTACCACGGACTGGACAGCCAACTCTGCCAGAGTTGCATGTGAACTAAGGCAGGGTCTCCTTAATCAACACTTGGCGTTTTGGAACGTAGTACCCAGCACTCTGACCCACTGCATAGTCCGAATATCGTTAGCAATTGCGCAGTCCCACGTGGGGTTTTGTGTCAGATTTCCAAAAGCGTTCCCCCGACTTAGCCGTGAAAAGATGAATGCATCCATCTTCGAGCGGCAGCCCGTCATCTCAACTCTGTGGCGCGCGTCTGTCGCCAACCTACCAGCCTTTTGGGGTGCGAAATGGACGGGATCCCCTTCCCTTCTCTCAAGCGAGCGCGTTACGGACTCTTCAGCTCTTGCAAAACTCAATACACACAGCGATCAGTACCGACCATGCGTATCAGCGTCTCAGGCAGCCGATCACGCAATTCCATTGGTGCCGCATAAGTCTGGGCAGAAACTCTTATGAAATACTTGCACTGATTAGCCTGTAGGCTCTATGTGAAGACGCTAGAAGCCTGTCAACAGGCCCTTTGAGAATGGGAGGCTTGTCTCGGCACCCATTCATCCCGCTAAAAGCCTTGCTTAATGTGGGCAAAGCAATATCAAGGTTTAGACGGAGTGGAGACCTTCGAACCATCGCGGCATCGCAACGTCTTTTACCCCTGGGTATGGATCGGGGTCCCTAGTTCGCTTGCAAGCCTTTGGTTGATTGATGACAGGATAACCTTTGCAAGACAAAGCCCCAAGTTTCCGAAAACGACCAAGGACGAACACGCACGGGGTTTTCTCGCCGACAAAGTCGGACTTTTGAGATATCCCTCGCTGAAAATATCTGCCCTTTCTGCTCTGCCGTCCGACTGAGAGCAAAGTTTAGGCGTTTCATGGCTCTATCCCCGGGCACATTCGTACAAAACTCAAATCAACCGCTTGCACTCTTTGTCATCGCATACTTTCTGCTAAGAGAGAATCCAACTGCCCACGTATCCGTCAAGAACCTCCACAGTCCACAAGCCGGCTATTATTCCCTTGTCGGCGTGGCCCTTGACCCCGGTCGTGCGTTCTTCCGATTTCGCGCGTCTCTCCCTCCCTCCCGTGATTCTCCTCCTCCCCCTTCCCGCGATTGGCAACTGGGAAACTGAAACATAGGCGAGAGGAAAGAGATTTTTGCCACAGTCGCGCGCAAAATTGAATGCCCGCGGATATGCCCGCAAATAAAGGAGGTTCTATTTTCGAACCTAAGCCGCCCTGCCAGCCCTGCCTGGCACTGCTGAGTGGTCAACCGCGCGGGAATCGGGGCAAAGCCCAAGTCCGGTTTAGCCGTGCCGTGCAGTGCTTCTGCCAACTTACCTGCCAAGCGCGGTAGACAATTGATTGCATTTAATTACGCTAGTGTCTTTAAGGTGTGATTGCCATCCAGGTCGGGCGAGGGAAAGGCTGCCAAGATCACTTTCGACTGAAGTTGTGCCGAGGCCGACATGCGGCCGATTAGTAGGTATCGTGAGCAGACAATCTGCTTGATCAACATCGGTGGCCCATACTTTGCACCCAAGCCGAAAAATCAAGACAAAGTCATTCTCCTCTCTTCTCGTGATTCTGGACCTTCAATATTGATTAAAGTTGTTCAAGAAATTAATTCCCGATTTGCTTGGGATTCTGAGAGGGGATGGACTCCGCTGTGAGGAGGGGCGAACTCGGAAGGGAAGAGGAGGAGCGAAAAGCACAGAGCGCGCGGCGACACACGCCATGGGCTGCGGCCGGGAACTTCAGACGTGAGCATGAGTCGTGAAAATGTCGTGCCTGATATGCTCAGCCTTGGTGTCCCGAAACAATGGGTTCACCCTGATATTACTTCACGTGGTGATAATCGACATTACTCCCGCATCTCTGGGCCTTTGCAAGTAGCCGGCCTGTCGCGTGTCGCAGGCCCCCTGAGGATCCCCCAAGACTTCCGCATCGGGTTGGAAAAGCTGGGGGGTTGTCTACCAAGAGTCGGAGAAGACCAAGAAGGCCCGCCACCATGATTCAAGGCCGTAGTTTGCATTGCCAGATGGTAGGCTTGCGAAGTTTGCCCAAAGGCTCACGCTTTGAGGATGTACTTAGGCCACCAGTATTGAGAACTATCGCAATCCCTTCAGCAAGTGCAAATAGAGTAGGCGATAATTGAACGGAAGATGGTAACAAAGAAGGAGTTTTAGCTTGGTTAAATTGAACTTTAAAATCTCCCGAGAGTGTTAATAAGTTGTGCGGGATTTTCAGCCCAACTCTGTCCTATCTGCCTACCGTATTCTTGTCTTGGCAGTTACTTTTTGACTTCTATTGGAGTTCCTTACATCTGAGCAGTTATTAGCCCGGCCTTGGAGGTTGGCATGTTTCAATGCTGGCTAGGGATCACAAAGGCACTGGCCCCAAGCGAGACATGTCAAGAAGGGGCGTCATTGTACATTGTCTTTCGTCAATTAGCCTCCATTATCGAACTTACGATATTATCTAAAGAAGCTGTATATTCGCTTATTTGATATTACCCAAATACTCTCCGGAAATATGTTACCCAAATCGTATGAAGGATAATGGGCCCGTCCATCATGCTTAGTCCAGCTTCAAAACCCACTTGCCCTTCAGCTACAAGAAAGTCAGCAAGCAGTCACACAATCAAGTTCAAGAATGACTTACTTGACCGTCGTGCATAGTCTGCACTAATTCCTCCAAGTCGTCGATTTTGCCCACGTGGACATTGGGAACGACCACACGTCGTCTGACAAACTCCAATGCCTCAAGAATATCGGCACGCGATCCAACAGAGGAGCTCAGGATCTTCCAACCCTTCCCGATAAGCCAGATGGGATTAAAGTTTACCTTCGCCTCCCAAGGTAGAATGCCAACACACATCAGCGTTCCGAACGGCGCCAGCAACTCAAAGGCATCCTGGTAAGCAGCAGTTGCCGTAGCTGCCACCACCACTGCCTTTGCCCCATAGCCTCCGGTTGCCTTTCTGACTTTCTCGGCCAGAGTTCCAGGCTCGGTAACATCAATGTAAACCTCGGCTCCCTGGTCTTTACAGATTTTACCCTTCTCCGGGCCAGCATCGACGCCAATGACGCGGTAGCCCATGGCACGGGCATACGCGACGCCTAGGGCACCTACACCTCCTCCGGCTCCCGAGATGGCGAACCACGAGCCCGGCGTAACATGGCAATTCTTAATCGCCTTGTAAGCAGTGACACCCGCACAAAGGATAGGCGCAACCTCCTCGTCAGGCACCTCGTCAAACTGGGCAGGAAGTCTCGCCAAGTACCGCAGCGGCGCAAGCGTATACTGAGCGAATGTACCGTCGTACGCTCTACCAGAGTGGAGTGTCTTTTCACAGCGCGTCTCACCCTCATTGACGAGGTCTACGCAGGCCTCGCAATTGCCGCAAGTATCGCGAGTCCAGGCGACACCCACTCGCTGTCCAACTTGGACCGATTGGTCGAGGGCCGCAATGTTAGAGCCTAGGGCGGCAATGCGACCGACTCCTTCGTGGCCGAGAATCTTCCTATCGAGGGGTCCGAAATGGCCCATGGCCATACCGAGATCGGAACCACAGAGGCCCGTCACTGATAGGCGGATAAGAACTTCATTCGGTCCTGGAACTGGCCGCGGTTCATCCCGCACCGCAAACGTAGGCTTCCCATCTGAGCCTTGAGGCGACTATAAATCGTAAGTCTCTGCAGAGTTCGATGGTGTGAAGAAGACAAGACGGGTGGAACAGTCTGAATGGTGCATGTGAGGTAGCTTACAGTCAAGACAGCAGCTCGGTGTGTCTCCATAATAGTGCTTCGTCGAATAAGATAAGAATAAGGTAAGTATACACAAGGCTGTACTTTAAAGAATGGCGTGTTAAGTTGAAGTTGAGACCAACCGAACTAGTGCTGCTCGAGGAAGATCTATGATGTAGGTCGAGATTTCCCCGCTACCTCCAGGAGGGTGTGTAGTGGGATAGGAGTTCAGACGGGTCGGAAACACTTTTCCGCATATCGTCGGTTCGAAGGTTCCCCTCATTCGAAATTTGACCTCGGTGTTATTCAGCCATAATGATAACTGACTATCTCAGGTATATGTGGCCCGGTGGGTTGGAAGTTTCGAGCGACGTCATCGTGCTTCGATGCATGTATCTGTGCGGAATCAGAAAAGAATAACATTGACTTCAGCCGAAATTCTGCCAAAGGTCTCCACCGGACTTAGTTCTTGTTTGTATGACTACATGTATGGAACAGTCAGTACCTTGTTATGAGTACTTGAGCATGCCTTGAATCTATCGTAGCGGCCCTTGTTCCTAGGCCTCTTTTGTTCAAGACTCGTACGATAGGCACCGCACTTGATGAACGATTACCCTGGGAGCCTCATAAAGCTGCATGCTTGGAAACTTATCCCTAGTTGCGACTTTGCCGCAGAGTCCTGATTCGCTCTCCCAAAGCAAGCTCGTCCGCTTGTATCCGTTACAACTGCTCCAACGTCTGCCTCCTGTCCCTCAAGAGTTGCTCTTCATGTAGCAGGTGCTCCAGCTCAGCCATGTCTGCAATCGGGGGTTCCGGCGATGAATTCATACGATCCCCAATTATGGGCGGTGACATCCTATTTGTCGCAGATGATAGGGGCGACTTTGGGAGCGAGATCGTCGACATGACCTCCGGTGATATCGCGTCCTGCTCAACTGAAGGCGCGATCGTGTGCCTGTCATGGATATTTGGCTCGGGCGATGCGCACGGAGTTGCGTCAAGCTCGGCCATTATCTGATTTTGTTGATTTGGAAATATTGCAGGGTTCTTCTTACCGGCTTCCAATGATGTCGTGTATGAATCCAACTCATACCTGTTGGATTTGTCCCCGTCGCCGAGCTCTGGCGTGATATTATCTTGGTTATTACCATCACTCAAGCTGGTCTTCTTCCTCTTTCTCCACCAGAAGAGTAGAATTACAGCTAACATTGCCATGAGGGCAGCTCCAGCTCCAACTCCAGCCTTCACCCCTGTCGATCATTCGCTGAAGGAGGAAGAGGGGCCGCTGTTGTCACCATCAGTCGTAGATGTAGGTTCGGCGGTAGGGGCAATTCCGGCGATAGGGGATGTTGTCGTCGGTATTGCGGCTTGTGCTGTGGTTGAACCAACGTTTGTCTCTAATGTGGATGTCTCGATATTCGCGGTAGTATGTGTGTCATCGCCGCCGGAAGTGGCGGATCCAGTACGTGTGACGATGATGGCACGTGTTCTTGTCAAGGTCATCGTAGAAGTCACATCCGTCTCGGAGGCATCGAGCCAGCCATTAGCGACGCAGTAGGCCGCAAAGGGGGGCCACACATCTTGAATACAGCGTCAATACAGGGCTTATACGTCAAAGTGAGTGAAAGATGGAAAGCCTTTTCTATTGAGAGATCGGGAGAGGCATACCTTCAAATGTTATTCCTTTGGACGCGCAAGCGCTCAGCGTGCAGAAGGCCCATCGGGTTCGCATGGAGTCGTGTGTTCCGAAGCCGCAAGCGCAATTGGGATTTCTCCTTATGTAACAATATTCTAATGGAGGCGCACCCAGACAATCTAGAGCACATGAAGGAATATCGTCTATGTCTTGAGCGTATGCAAAGCGAATCGCTGCCGCGAGGACAACTGCCGTGGCCCTCATTGCGACGAAGCAGCGAGAGCCTGCTCGGGGTGTAGATCGAACGTGGAGAAAATAATAGCGAAGATAACAGCTAGAATGAAGAGTTGTTGTTGGAGGAATGATGTTTGAGAAACCCAATGGGTCCTTCTCTTGGTGGTATGTGCCTCAGTGACAGCCAAGCGCGGCCTATGGCAGAAAAGTGTTACCAGGAAAGACAAGACAGCCGACGGACCAAGCATAAAGCCGGAGTCTGCAAGGTTCTCGATGGATCATGAGAATTTTCTGCCAGACCTCATTAGGCCTCCGTCTAGCTTGTTGGTTGGGTCTAATTTGAGGCCTTGCCTGTCTGGGCTCCAATCCCACTGCTTCCAACAGCTTGTCGTCCGGCTACTCACATATACTGCGAGGCAAGGACCCGTTTTTGCAGGGAGAAGATCGAATCACTACGTTCAACGTTGCCTGGTGCCAAGTCCAGCTTCTAGCTGCGCCCTACTTGTGCAGAGCCCAGCGTCCTCGCCTGCGTTGGTTGTGAAATTGCGTTGGGCCGAGTAGATGAAGTGAATCCTCCCAATCTCAGCTGGATCAAAAGCAACTGAAATTTGCTTAATGATTTACCTGCATGTGACCTCAGCTTAACAGCTTGCAATCCAGTTTCAGCCGGCAAAGAACATCCTAACGAGTAGTTGTTTCGAATATGTCCACTATCGCATGATTGTCAATTGGTCAGGGGGTTGCTGAAGAGTTTTTGATAGTGAATTTTTACTTCGCGGACGAATGTGAGAGAGACTTGGCCTCTACTACTCGGAAGCCACGTCACGCTACACTGCCAAGGGCAGCTTCTTCTCAGACCGCACTCCACCCCAAGTCAATGTGCATTTGATCTTCACTCAAGCGAGTTCCCATGTTCAAAATACACCCAGAAGAGCAATGAGCCAATGAAGTGCAGCGCACCTGTTATTGCTCAAGTGCACATGGGCCGGCCCATCAGCTGTGATTATGTAGGCTTTTCCTCTCCGAACCTCAACCAACGTTGCGTTCCTTCTCTCGATCAGCAGATTCGTAACAATAAATTCGGCCGTATTGTGATGAGGCAACAGAGATATGTGTTAACGTTCCTTACACACCGATATCCCACAGCTCACGATCAACTTCGGAAGATCTTGCCTACGAGACAGTAGTCGCTTCGAGGGCAGTCACACGAGTATTCTTGGTTTCTCGGTGATACATACTCCTTTCAATAAATTCAAGACAACTACATGCTTTGACTGCTTCAATCTCATGTACAGTCCGGCGTTGTACTACGACTTCAAGGCGACTGGCCGCAGGCTTATGCGAAGCATGGGAAGTAAGGGTGAGCCCCCTTTCTCCAGCAAAACAACATTGTATCACGGGGAGAAAGAATTGTTTGCTGCACGCGATCAACGGCATCATGTTCGCAACGTGTTGGCAGTAATCCTATGAACAGTTCTCCAGTATGGTCTTCAGAGAGGCTCATTTGAATTGCGTCTTGAAACAGCGAAGCCAAAGCCTACTAAGGCTATCTCAAATCCAGCAACACGTAGGTAATCAAAGAGCTCAATATTTGTTGAAAGTATTTACAAGATAAGGTTTCACGCCAAAACTCCATCATGAAGAGATTCTCTATCCAGAGGCTCACTTCTCACTTAGGTGGCGAAGTAGGTGCGGCGGGCGTTGCCGCGACAATCACAACCTTTCTCTGCCGCCTCTTCTTTCTGCAGCTCCTTACGCAGCAAAACACGCATGAGCAGACCAACACGAAAAAAATTACAGGACATCCAACCACTAGGAACATGAAAAGACTGTCTTTTGTAGGGTCAGGCATACTCTCAAGTCTTGGCGGTTTGTAGTCATAAACTCCATCCGGGATCGTCTGACCAGTTGTCCACGTCGGTACTATCATTGGGCTCGCCAATGTCGGTAGCTTTGGCGTCAAGGTCGCAGTATCAGATGCATCCCAAGTCACGGTCCATGGTGTATGTATCATGAGCACTTGGTCCGATTTCGCGTCCTCGGGGTTGGAAAGGGCTTCGGTCTTTGGGCGCCATGCGGCGCACGCCATTCCATTGACCCGAGTGTAATTGAATCCACTCCACCTCTAGTCAGCGGTCAAGTCATAGACACGACAAGCAAGATTTGCAGTGATGAAGAAAATGGTGCAAGCCAACCTATTGCAGCAGTAAGCTGATGTAGGGCCCTCGGTGTATGTGTGTGCCATGCTATAATACGTCCATCCTTCGGGGCACACGCCCGGGCTGAAATTGAGCCGGCTGTACTCTGCGACGCGGTCCCATCCAGAGGGATAGCATGATGATGAGGCAGCAGAGACAGAGACCTTCGATATGACGTCGCGGTATACTTCGCTGCCGGAGATTGAAACAAGAGACCGGTGCGACGTTTTTGTCGTAGTCCATTGGTTTGAACAGTCTGGCGGCTGCACGAAAGGCGTGGTTATGGCGAGGTTTTCAGTGGTTGTGGCCGGAACGGATTCTGTGATGGTAGAAGACATGACTATCTCGCCAGGGCGCCGAAGACGCAACTGGATTGGAACGGGTTTGGTTGAACTGACGAAGGGATTTCGGGCCTGGAAATGTGCTTGGGCTTTGTCTCTTATACACGATCAAGCCCTTCAGAGTAATGCGCCAAGGAGGCAAAGCAAATATGAGCGAGGCCCTAATTGGCAAGAAAAGACATGGGCCTGGCCAGAGAGGGCAGGTTTGGGACTAGCGGGGCTTTGCATGTACATATTAATATCGAACTGCACTACGACCCCAACTCGACTTTTCTCAATACTACACAATTTCATGACACGCTCACTTCGCACATTTGATTATGACTTCAAAGACGTGTCCATCTATCAAGTAGAAACTTTACTAAGTTGACCAAACTAGTGAATGTGCCTGCAAAGTGTTAAAAGACCGCTGTGTAGCCTCAAAACCGAATAGAGTTGAAGTCCGGGTTGGGTACACTCTCTTCCAGGACTGTGCCATTGCTGAAAATTGTGCCGTTCTTCAAAACCTCGACGCGACCCGGATGAAGGCCAAGCGGCGGGTCATTAACAGTCGTCCCATTCGCATAAATGATGCCGTTGAATTGCGATACTAAGGGGCTCGGAGGCTTCCTTAAATTCTTCGGACTTGCGAGCAAAGGGGACCTTCTCGGGCTGATGGTGCAGTTCTCGCTGATTGTGTACAAGTTAAGACCGATCGCCAGAGTATACAACTCAGCACTCAACGAATCCCATCCAGGCTCGTTCTTGATCACCATGCCAATGTAGTCGACCAAGAGGACGTTGGGGTAGTATTCGTACGAGATCTCATTCACGCCCTTCCAGTAGAGTGCGGGGTTGGTAGGCAGAACGGCGATTGACTGGAGGTCGTAGGTAAACGTCGATGTCAAGGGATGCGGTGTACTGAGCCACTGGCCGATGTGGAAAATGCCATCTGGCCTTCCTCTCCACATCTTTATCGCCTTTTCAGCCATCTCTTTCGTATCTTCCTTTTCAGGCCACGCATCAGTCAAGTCGATATGATTGATGTTATAGATGCCCTCGCCAATTGAAGTATGCTTGCGGTCATCAGGAATCTCCTTAGACAGATGCTGGGTGTTCAAGAAGATAAGCACGCAGCCCTTGTTATCATTCTTGTCCATCAAATCGCCAATCTTCGACGTTTGCAAACTCTTGCCAAGTCCAGGGCACCGATTTTTGATCTCTTTGAGTTTGTCGAAGAACTTGTTCTTGATACCTTCATCCCAGTAGATGGGGCCATAGCTCGGCACATTGCGGACACCAAGCAGATAGCGGAACTGCAAGAAGATGACCTCGCCAGGATTCTCATCCGTGAATCGATTAATTTCCTTGATGACGTCGTCCAATTTCTCTCCCGTTCTCCCAAGTACGACGTCCGCAACCTCATCAGCCACGTGCATCGTCCAGAAGTCGTAGTTGCCGCAACAGTTGACAACCTGATGAATGCTGGAAACACGCAAGTCGAACCAGCGAGACCCGGCTCGCAGTTGATCATATAGGTTCAACATCTGAGTTTGTGTGTTGCCCTCGGTTCCTCCTGACAGGAGAGCATCTGTTATCTTACTCATGCCCGAATCGTGGGTGCCTGGCATCACCAAATCAACCACCCTCCGATCACGGATCGTATCCTTGATAGCGTTCATCCAGTTTCCCGGTCCATGTGAAAGTGAAGTGATGAACCCGAAGGAATCACTTCCCGTGATGACAAGTGTCACAGGAACCTCCTGCCCCGGCACCCTGTACTCGCGCTGGCCCTTGCCCATCCCGCTCAGGTCGAAAACGACGCGCCTGGGATAGGCATCAGGTATATGAGTTGTGGCACGTACGACAAACTTTTTGCCAGTGTTCCCGATGTCGTAGTATGCTTCTCCGTTGTCATCGACATTGTTGGCTTCAATGTCTTCAGTATAGTGTGCGACGTTCTGACGCGCCCTGCCAGGAGGAATATCGCCCCAGTTGAACTCGTCCATCTGGTAGCTATGTGTTGAAGTGAGTTTGAAAGGGTGCGGCGTGAGGTTGACGATGGTGATGTACTGTCTGCCCGTCGCTGCTGCATTCTCAGGGTCCATCAACAACCAGCGCATGTACTCGCCAGTTCGATCAAGATCGAGGTCGCTATAGGTTTTATCGCTCGCTTGGCAGGTATCATTGGGGTCGATGGGCGGTTCCGTTTCTTCGTCGTCGTTTGACTTGCAAACCTCGGGACACCAGGTACGAGAGCAAGCAAACTCGCACAGCTTCTCATCATTGTAATCCCCAACAGGTTTTCCAGTTGCACCGGGTACCTGTGCTGGTGGCTCTATCAGGCCTCCCTCTGAAGTACACCGGCAGATATGCAGAGGACAGAAGCCAAAGTTGCAGGCGTAGGAACAAAGCCCCTCGAAGCGTTCATAGCCTACTAGAGAGGTGCCTGCCCTACAGGCAGGTGGAAGAAACTCGGAGACGGTCGGTACGATAGTCGTCTGAGGAGTCT